GGGCTTGGGAAGTTTTGGCCTTCTTAGGCCAAAATTGAATCATCGAGAGACCGACTTATCGAGTTTGCCTGTGTAGTTGGAAATACGAAATCTGAACGTGCAGACTGTATATGGTGTGAACATTGCGTATTTGTGTTGTTGCCTGATTTTTTATTCATATTGTTGTTTGTGCATTCGGAATGTGGTGACATTTGCCGACTTGTGATTCTCAAAACTCTATGATGTAATCTTCCTAATGTCTGGTTTTTTTCTCATAATCTAAGTCTGTCATTGATATGTGGTAATTTGAAACGCGGGACATCGTCTTATGATACGATCTTTGGCATAATGTAACTTGGATCATACGATTCTTGCAGAAATTTATTTAAAAGCTCCGCAGCCCCTGATGCAATTTCTCTCATCAGACTTGACTACTCAAGTATTCCATCGTCATTTTATAAAATGCCACGTAAACCACGCACAGTATTCACTCAAGAACAAAGCATGATCAACCACTACGAAGTGGTTCTGATCGAGGCAGCGGCCTCAGAAACAGGCCTTGATATTCAAACAATCAAAGTATGCGAGATTACTAAAACAACTTTCCCCAAACTTATACTGATAATTGATAGTCTACAGAACTAGATCACAAACGAAAAGGCCAGACACAAGCCTCCTACATCAAGAAGTGTAACACGCATTCTGACAGTGAAGCGTTCTCTGTCGGATTATAATGTTTTCATGAAAGAATTCTTTCAGAAGACAGAAGTCGATGGTAATTAGTTTTGTCTCATTGCTTTTCTTTTTGAGACTTGCAGCCATTAATGAATATTTTTCCAGATTACTTGAAAGAACACATGAAAGTCATCGTCTAGGGCCTTGATGGGCTCAAGAAAATGAAGCGGGTTGCTAGGCTAGCCTAAGCGTCAGCGAAAACAATTGCTATAAGGAGCCAATCAGTTGACCCAAAACATTAAAGATGGTAAAGAATGCAAATTTATTATGCGATCACACATTAATATTAGCTTATAATAATAATAATATAGCCTCAAAACATTATATTACGGAGAATGGCATTGGACAAAATGTGGTCAACTCCGCATTGGAAACTATATACAAGCAGGTATGTAAAATGTTTATTATCCATGTATGGTTAATACCATGCCATGTGATGGTAATCACTCACTCTTCACTGTGGTGCAGGTGCCCAAGTGCTTGGGCTCAGCTAGAGCCGAATACTCTAATTGAAGCAGAAGGTTTGAGTGCTAACGCAAAAGCTCGAGCTGAAGCGTTGCGATTGACAAGAAGGTAAATTTTGTTATCCCTCTTTTTTTAAACTAACTTATTGTTGAAGAATTTGGTTGTCTTATTGATACTTACTTACAGATGCAAGCAGTTTGACGGAAGAGGAGTATAGCGGCAGTGACAGAACAGGTGATGATACTGTCAGTGGGGAGAATAGCGAAATGACGGGGAGAGAAGGGGATGAGAACGGCAAGTCTTTTACATATGTATAACCACAGTGTTCATCATTGAAAGACATCAGAGAAGTAAATTATTTCAGAATCTACACTAACGTTCGAAAGCGTAGAGGAAATTTCTGTCAGGCGCTCTGAAATTGTAATACAACAGCAGAATAAAGTTCATATTTTATTATAATGCAACAGAGTTACGCAATATTTCTAAACTCGGAAATCTGATTTACATGACTTCCATCACGGGATTGCACTCTGCCTATGAATATTAGTACTCAGTTAATTTAGTTCAAAACGCCTAGTCGAGACAACAACGTAGTAAGAAACTTTATTATACAAAATTTAATTGACGTGTACCAGAGGATGACAAATCAAAAGATTGACACTTATATTGAGAATGTTTCGGCTTTTTATGGGGATGTTATTAGATACGATACTAAGTCAAATTAATCTTGCTCGGTTGCGGTGTAGTGCATCTACGATCAGAAATAGAGTTGTCTGTGTTATTGACATGTACAAAAATGCTGATTCGATATCGATACTTTAATTTTTGTTACATTCTCTTCAAGTATCCAACCAATTTTACTATCAAAGTTAATGGTTTAACCTGTTAGAAACAAATAAGAACTATGCAAAAGTATTAATAAATATTGTGCGAGAGCGTTGTAAAGGTTTCAACATTGTAATTTTGTTATCATTATGATCGCCATTATTTATCAGTAATTAAACAATGGTAATACAGAAAATGTTATCATGGGCATTGTTCAATGAAGATAGTGTTGTTCAGTACATAATCATAATTCATGGCGTGAGTAGATAATCAGGACACGTCGTACAGCCCATATCCGACAGGTCACACAACCCGGCAACCGGCAAATAGTATTCTGGTTTTTATATAATATGTCTTACCATTCACGATTATGTCCTATAAAACAGTAATATTCGAGCCTGTACAACGTAATTCCTGATTATCGTGGCGTGAGAAGGCTCATCAAATGTAGATGGAATGTGAATGGAATGGTACCGTAGATCACTATCTGTGAATAATGTTGCATATGGCTCCCTGAATGACGATCATGGATCACCTGCATCAAGTACTGTATTTTCATTGCTCTCACATGCAAACTGTTACGTTTGAGAAAAAAGTATGTTGTGTTGATGGACGAAGAGTACTGTTAAGCCATGACTATGAAGACATTCGTGAAGTAATATGACTTTTGGTATTTGACTGTTTAAACCAGGAGACTGAGCAAAAACAAGGCAGCTAAGTTTTTCGTAACCATATAGTCAATCCTTCTTTCGCGGCCTGTTTGTGAAATGGTTAATTATTAATTACGAACAATTGTTATTACTATTGTGGATAATCTAGTTAATTACTAATAATCATTATCGCGGGATAATCTGACTAACTAATGATCATTATAATGGAATATCTAATGATGAGATAATGATTGCCGGTTAGCTTGGCATAAATCGCAGATTATCCGGTTAATGATGTGCGCACCGGGTGTTTTGCAAGATCTTCTTGACTTTCAAACTCCAGAAGTAGGTGTACTCACGTCTTTCCCCAGCGATTTATGTATTAAATCCGGAAGAGTTGTAACTGACAGCTACAGGAAATTTGTTGCGCAGTAGTTGATTTAATGAGCGACGTTACTAAGTCTTTGGGGAGCCTTGTTGACTAAATTAAGGTTCCTATGTGGAACAATTTAAAGGGGCTGATTTATTCTGAACACATTACTATTATTAAGACAGCCATTATTCATTAAGCCGCAGCTTCTTCATTATTATACTATCAGTTTCCTTCACACATTTTCCCCCTTCGGGTACATCTCATCTAACTGTCCTTGCGCTTCTATCATTGTACAGTATAAAGTAGATCACTGTACTGTGGATATTGTAGATTCTCCATTAACCGATTATCATATCTACGCCATGTAATACAGTATACGAGATTTATATAAATCTAATTGGCTTTAGTTCTTTTAATGTATCTAACATAACAAATAGTATCATGTATAAACTATTCACAGTATAAATAAAAGAAAACAACAAAGTTGGCGCTTTAAATTAATACGTAATATTTTATGATACTTCGGATGGGTGGATGCCCGAAAATAATGATTATGTATAACATCACTGCACTGCACTGTGTACTATCTGCTGATTTTTTACTATTTGCATGCTAACAAAAAACTAAAGCGCATTACGCCTTTTCCTTTGTAATACGTATTCTATATATAGTATACAGAATCCGCAAGTTCCGGTTGTTTGCTTCATTTAGAATTATAATGCTACGGGTAATCCAGGTCAAGGGTTAGAAAGCCGCTTTCACCTCCGTTGAACACACATTGCACAGCCATTACCCATCAGGTTATCATTTGGAAGAAAATGGATATTTTAAGGTAATAGACAATCTTAATGACTTTATTATACGAGTCTTGCCGTTACATCTTCATCCTGTTCAGTTTACTGGATAGAAATTAATTCATGTCATTGACTAATTAAGTAATTTGAGATTCAAATCGACCGATACGCTTGTCGGAGATCTTTATTATTGAGCGTTAGCCATACCTTTATCTATATAGGCAAAATATTGGATTGAAGCTTTTGCCATGGATTTTACTTCGCCGCGCCGTGTATCTTAAATAGATATTAAAGGGTTATTTATTGCATCATAAAAAACATCTTGTTAAATCAAATTATAGAATCGTTGTCAAATAGTTCTTGAATATATTTTGCATTGATAAGTTGTTAGAAAATGATTGTATTAATCATCACAACAACGAATTGACTAACCATATTAGGGGTAATAAATGACGCCTTTTTTACGCCTTTTACTCTTCTACGTGTATAATAATACATAATGGACATCCGCGATAATCTATTTATGCGAATGCTTTCAGACCGAGTATGGTATCGAGCCATCAAAGGCACCCCAAATTTGTAACTGAACGGTAAAATAATTGTCCGTTTTGGCTTGGGATTTGATATACAGAAACTGACAAACTTCACTGAATGTAAAAACGTACAAGATCCGCAAGCGGAGAAGTATGACACGGATTGACGTATTAATCTTACTCTGAAGCCCTTCACTCTTTTTTCGAAAAATGTGCTCTTAAATTTATTGTAAACAGTGAAAAAGGAAGAACGTAAAATCGTCTGTCTATGTGTTACGTGGTATGATAAAAAACTTGTTTATGCTATATATAGAAAGACAATAAGAAGTACCTGTTACTAGTAACGATGAAGCAGTTGTCGCGTGCACTAGCGATAATAAGTAATGCTAATATGACCATTAAATACTATGTATATGTCGTATATAAATCCCGTCACTGTATAAATATATGTATAAATCCCGTCAAGGTTGAGATGGTCCCTAAAAATTTTTCTTAGCTCAATCGGATTGTGAGTCACATAAGGCATACCTTGTGTTTACTACTACCAAGCATACAATATTTCAATATATTTTATTTTCAATTATTCTTACAATTAGCGCTAGTTTTGTGACATCGACTGTCACACTTCTTTTTTGCTTATCTACAACCACATCGGCCACCAGTGCATGCGCCTCTACAAGCACACCGTATCTGTCGACCACTGCTCGATACAACACTTTGGTTCTTGCTGCCTCTCTCAATGTTACTTATCACTGAGGTATATCGTCTAACTCAGGAAATTCGGCTGTTTCCACTAAATTCAAGTCATTCATTACATCCATAAGTAACATTCAAAACCACAGAGGCACATCCTAGCCGACACTTTCTATTTAATATTAGATAATAGGCCGTTAATATGCCTTATCAAAACGTTATAACAAGGGACAAGATCATGACAATTATGGTCCGTGTGACATCAGAAACAGGGTAGGGGAATTTATATGATACGGCTTTATATTCAGACAACATACTAAAAATAGCTTATGCTTGGTGGTAAAACACAAGGGTTATTGTTATCATTATTACATTACACAACTCATAGCGTTTGTCACATCCGCCGATTGAGATAAAAAATCTTTTAGGGACCCGTCTCAATTTTGACGGGATTTATATACGACATTTTTATATGACGTCAATAGAACAAACAGAATAAGATGCACGCAGGTCGGGCGTTACAGATAAGAAAACTGTACGCACTCAATAACCGAAACAAGGAAAATATTTGTCAGCCGTGATTTCTATTATTAATCGGACCTTTTCACCGCTGCCAATTTCCTTTTTGGAATTTTTATGAAAAATTATATAAGCCCCTCCCTACCTCCCCCATTTGGCTCAAAATTAGACTTCAAATTTGACGTCGCTCTTTCAAAGCTGCAAAATACGTAATTGGACAATGATAAGCGAATTGCCTATAGAACTCAAAGTAGAAATTGCAAGTTGCGTGCAAAATCCTTTCTTTCTTGCGCGATGCTCGCGCGATTGGTACAGTATAGTAAATTCTCCATATACAAAGCATAAATGGCTCCTCAACAAGTATGGTCATATTCATGCGTTGTTTCACGCTGTAAGAATTGGTAAACCATTCCTTAACTTCGACGTGGCCGAGCTTGTGCTAAAAAATTCTTGTATCAGCCGGTACTTTGTTCAACGACTAAAACTTGTTTATGGAAAACACTGTCTGTGGGGTAACAATATTTCCAACAATGTATACGAACGAATTCTTAATTTCAAGAAAGGATATAGAAACGACAACCGCAATGACATGCATTCAATCCGTCAAGTGTTAAAAAAAGGAGGAAACGAAGACGATATCAAAACAATAATTGAAGTTTATGGTTTCACACCTTTTCCGCCCAAGCCAACCTTTCGAACATATATATTCGAAAATTCTGCTAGATATGAAGATAATCTTCCCCAAAACGGTTATGCAACCGCCTCTGAATTGAAGATTGTGGCAAAGGCGATAATTACTTATCCAAATTTGTTGAATGTCTGGAGAAAAATTGGGTATCACGAAATAACCGAGGATTTGGAAAACCCTGTTGTGCAACTCACCTTACTAAATCTTTATTCAACCGGGGTTCCTTCAGTCCAAACGGTCGCTGAAAAATTATGCAATTTGCAATCAATTGGGTTTTCACTGACTGACACTCTGGTTGGAAATGCTATCCTTTTATTCAAAGGGAGGTTAGTCGACGTCGGAAAGAGTCTTATTGAAGGTTTTTCAATTGCTCGAAAATTATCCAAGGGAGACATACTTGATATATGCTTGATAGAATTGCTTAATCCGGCAAGAATTCTTGAACAATATGATGCACTGGATTATATCATCAACTCGATTAACGATCCCCAAAAGCAGATTCTCTCTGCATTTGAAAAGTATAAAATTATCGAAGATGAAAATAACCCACTTACCCAATCTCGCATGTTCCTTAAATACTCACTTATAGTGTATCGATACATGTTAAGGTTCGGTGCAAAGTCTCCAGTTGTTAAATACTTGATGAAAGAAATTATAATTGTTCATACGTGGCTCACCGATACAGAGGATATAGACAAATTGAGAGATGCAGATACTATCCTTGACGAATATTATACCGCAAATGTACCTTTTGATCGATCACTTTTACCGCTGTTCAAAGAATTCTCGCGCACAAAACCAATTAGCTATTTATTTGAAGGATATCTTCCAGCACTGTTCGGATCCGAAGTCCAAATCCCATTTATGACATTCCAAATTCCGGAAGTAGATGCACTCGCATCATCTACACATACAAAAGAGTTGCAGCGACTTTGGTTGGAAGACATTCAAAGTATCCAATCTGAGGAATTAATAAATGATGAGTTTAAAACGCAGGCAACAGAGTTTTTTACTCTTTATTACTTAATGCGCAGTTGTTTTGATTACTGAGCAACTTTATTAAGTCTGTCGGTAAATTTGTAGACACAAGTTTCTAGATTAATTATGAGTTTGGTTTATTTTCTATACATTTCAAGTCTATTACGGAAATATTTTTAAGGGGTTTTTATGACAACACATTATATTATTAATAAGGGTAATTATGCAGGAAAATATGTTTGGTTAATTGCAAATGTCGAAAATTCTGGAAAAGACTGAAACGTCTCTTCATGTACACTGCTATTTATGTCATCAATAAATATTTTGGTAGTTAATTTTTAAAGATCTTATATAATATTTCAGCTTAGATGTAGTAAGACACTGCGTGGCATTTTTGCTTATGTTTTTTATCGTATCACTGTTAATTTTTGTGATTCTTATTGCACAGCGCACAGCACGTAGAATAACTTCAAGCACATCATCCTGGAGACGTTCTTAGCAAAGGCGGCTAGTATGTGCAACCGCCATTTAGCTTTCTAACAAGCACCTGGATTTTGTGTTGCATGATTGGATGTGTTTAAAGAACTAGTAAACTTTGGACATTAAGAAGTGTGTCTCTTGCAGCCTTGACAATGATATGTATATAGTCATAGTTAATAATGCAACTGCCTGATATATACGTGGGAACAAACGGTAAAACAGAATATGCGTAATGATGTATTTGTGAGACCCAACATGGCTCCGTCTTTTTTACAGTTTCAGTCAACAGTTGGTTCCAATCTCTCATTATATCTGATTTTACTATTTCTAACGCCGAGTAGGACTAGTGCTTGGCTTCGAAACCACGACGAGAGGCTGACTTACAGTTATTATTTGCAAGTAAATTACTTTACCTGACCGTAACGGAAACATTATTGTTGATAATAATTTATCTTTCAATCATATTTTCCTTAACGAACATCTAACATGATATTAATGTTTCTGTGAGAAGAGTTTACGCTAAAATATAGATTTATGTATGTCAACATGTATCTATTATAGATACATCGGCTTTGTGTCCAAACAATATGCAGTCATAAATGTACTCTTTAAGCACAATACGCTTAAATAGCTTTGGATCACATAGAAACCCTTTTCTTTCTTGGATGCTCGAGTGATTGGATAAATCGCCACTTACAAACAATCGGGATTATCCGGCATGTTACACGGCAGCAAACAAAATATATGATATTACAAATATGTGAGAACAATCACTGTTCGCTACTTATTATATGCTATACTAACCAAAGTTTTTTTCCCCTAAAACAAAGATTAGTGCAAACATTAATATATGTCCATCTATTCAACCATCAGCGACTAGTTTAAAATTATCGTTATTTTGATTAAGAATACTTCCTGTTCAATGACGATTCCTACTGATATTCGTACTTTATTTGTTTTTTTACAGTTTATACAATAACTTATACATATTTTGCTTGTTGTCTTTTGCTCGTAATTATATTTTTGTTTCAACGTGACATTACATTCTATTCATATACCATGCTCTAAATTACTTACACATAATTCTGACATCACGCTTGCTCACCTACAGGTATTTAATCTGCGAGGTTTCGAGTTGTTCTTATTCAGAACGTGTTTGTATTTTGTTTTCGATTCGATAAAGTAACTCTAGCATGTATTATAAAATGTAACTTAGAAATAACGTCTTGCATTATCCGTATTCACTATAACATAATTAAATTAGCATAGTTCTGGCCTTAGCCATTTTTAATGCTAGTTGTAGATTGAATCTTTCCATTAAAGAAATGTTCCTTAATAGTGAATGATAAAAAGAGCATAAAAGATCATCTAATATAAGGTTGGATAGTTACCCGAGTGAAGTCCCGACGATTGCTGTGCGATTGCTATGTAGCATTACATCAGTCACCATGGTATTTGAATCGTTATGCAATGTAATGTAAGACTTTATTGCCCCAACTACGCAAGCATTTGAGATGTTACACAGATCTGTTATCCTTTACGGCAATTGGACCTCCTATGCTAAATATGGTTATCAAAGCTTACGAAAGACTGTCCTGGGGAAAATAAGATATTCTTGACTTATAATCAGCCATATGAACAAGCTTGAAGACAACCTTTTCTATGTGATTAAAAGTACGAGTATGCATACTCAACAAATAAACAGTTCGACGCACGATAACTTGAGTCATGCCTTTATTGTCTTTATAAATTAATGACCTGTAAATACTATTCACAAAGCCCTTCAACGAAATTTACCTTCTACTTGTCCTAGTCTTCTAATTAATTGTTCTTCTTTCTCTATTGCTAATAAACGGTGAAGAAGTATTTTACTTTTTTACTAGCCCGTTTCCTGAGTTGACAAATTAGCATTACTGACAGTATAACAAGGCAATGTTTATTTATATCTTTTAATAAGCCGTTAATAAGCAAAAAAGTTTTTGTTCATTATTCATTATCACTAGACATCGGAGTTTGACTGTTAGCAATCCGAAGTTATCCAATACTTTCTATTTATGTTTAACAAGAGATAGTGATTCATATGATTGTAGATCATAGATGAGGTTACACAAGAAAATTATGCGACAAAGATAATTCTCAAATGCTACAAATAAGTTCCATGACATTCTTTTATAATGCACATCACGCAGCATATGTCCAAATTTAATCTAATGTATGCGCAACGACAAGAACAGATAATAAGTTTTCCATGACATTCTTTTCCGATGCACATCACGCATTATATGTCTAAATTTAATCCAATGTATGCGCAACGGCAAGAACAGATATATTACAAAAAAGTTCCATTCTTTTACAATGTACATCACGCATTACATGTCTAAATTTAATCTAATGTATACGCAACGATAAGAATAGATATTATTACAAATAAGTTCCATGACATTCTTTTACAATGCACATCACGCATCATATGTCCAAATTTAATCTAATGTATGCGCAACGACAAGAACAGATATTATTTATCGGAGTTTCAGCTCAGGCTTCACAATCTGTAACATCTAACTACACGTACTCGCATACATATAATAATATATTGATGTATTTTGCGACACTACTCCCTTTGTTACACTATAATAAATTGCAAGTACTGCATTTTCCGCAAATTCTTGGCTAAAATATTGCATGCAAACTAATAAAATTAGAAGTTACAATATCCAACGCTTTCACCTAAATTACCTTACTTGTTATTACTATTAAGCGAGTTACACAATTGTGAAGAGTTCTTATAAATATGCGACACCGGGACATTCTACCAGACTCTAAACTACGGACAGAATCTGGTCTGGATGAATAAGTTGCCTGAAGAACTTCAAGTGGAAATTGCAAGTAACGTGGAAACACCATTTTTTCTTGGATGCTGCTCACGCCATTGGTGCAAAATAGTAAATTTGCCACATACAAAGTATAAATGGCTTTTCAATAAATACGGCCGTATTCATACATTGTTCCACGCTGTAAGAATCGGTCAACCATTACTTAATCTTGAGTTAACTAAGCTTATACTAAATAATACTCATATCAGTCGATACTTTGTTCAACAACTCAAACTTTGTTATGGAAAACGCGGCTTGTGGGGTAGCAATATTTCCAATGATGTATACGAGCTTATTATTAATTTTAAGGCGGAATATGGAAGCGACAACCGTGATGATATGCAGTCAATCCGTCAACTGTTAGAAGAAACTGGAAACAAAGACGATGATATTACAACAATAATTGAAAAACATGGCTTCACACCTTTTCCGCCTAGTTCCCTTTTCAGAACATACATATTCGATAATTTTGCTAAACGCGAAAATGATCTGCTTCCAAACGGATACGCAACAGCTTCTGGATTGACGATCGTGGCTAAGGCGATAATCACTTATCCAAATTTGTTGAATGTCTGGAGGAAAATGGGTCATCATGAAATTATCACGGATTTGGAGAACCCTGTTGTGCAACTCACCCTACTAGATCTTTATTCTACCGGTGTTCCTTCAGGACAAGCAGTTGCTGAGAAACTATGCAACTTACAATCAATTGGATTTCCACTCACCGACACTCTGATTGGAAATGCTCTACTGCTTTTATTCAAACGGAGATTAATCGTTGTCGGAGAGAGTCTCATTGAAGGCTTTTCCATTGCTCGGAAAATGTCCAAGGCGGATGTGCTTGAAATGTGCCTGATAGAATTGCTTGATCCGTCAAGAAATCTTGAACAAAATGACACACTGAATTATATTATCAACTCGGTTAACGATCCCGAAAAGCAAATTCTTTCCGCATTTAAAAAGTACAGTATTGTCGAAGGTGTCAATAACCCATCCCAATCTCACACATCTCTTAAGTACTCACTTGTAGTATATCGATACATGTTAAGGTTCGGTGCAAAGTCTCCAGCTATTAAATACTTGATGAAAGAAATTATGATTGTCCATACGCGGCTCGCCGATACAGAGGATATAGACAAATTGAGAGATGCAGATACTATCCTTGACGAATATTATACCGCAAATGTACCTTTTGATCGATCACTTTTACCGCTGTTCAAAGAATGCTCGCGCGCAAAACCAATTGGCTATTTATTTGAAGGATATCTCCCAGCATTGTTTGGATCCGAAGTCCAAATTCAACCATTTATGACATTCCAAATTTCGGAAGTAGATGCACTCGCATCATCCACACATACAAAAGAGTTGCAGCGACTTTGGTTGGAAGACATTCAAAAATGTATCCAATCTGAGGAATTAATAAATGATGAGTTTAAAACGCAGGCAACAGAGTTTTTTACTCTTTACAGTATTAATATGGCGTTTTGGTTATGAGTAACTTTATTAATTTTGGTAAAATAGATTTTCAAGACTAAATTAAGAAATTAAAATCCTATGTATATTTAAGATAATAAAAAAACCAGTCTCCTTTATAATCATAATTACGTCGATTTGTGAAGAAATTAAATTTATTCGTCTTCCCCTATCTTATATCACAATCAGTCGTTTATTTTCATACAGTTATCAGTATATAATTGTAGTCATACGCATATATTCATACACAGTCTTTCCCTATATCACCGTTAAGAAATTAACTAAAATGTCTTACTATTTTCTTTCGAAAGTCAAACGCGAGATCTTACAATATGATGCAAATACAGTGAATGCACGCCCGTAATATGCATATTGTACTACAAGATGATAAAAGGAGATTGTCAATGATGCAATCGTAGGACTTGATAATATAATGACATACGTGATAGATTTTGGCTACCCCCTATTAATTACGTGATAAAGTCCAGGTCACAAGCGTTTCAGCTTCAGCCTGTTTCAGCACAATTTATTTCCCCGACAGTTCACCTCCTCGATAATCTCTTCCCCGACAGTTTATTCCCCGATTATTCCCCAACAATTATTTCAAAGTTATTAATATTAACAGATTGGTGTCCAAATATTTTTCGGAAAATAATTGGAGGAGAAATAAACTATCGGAGAAATGAACCGTCGGGGGGATAATTGTCAGGAAAATGAGCTATCCGGGGAAGTGATTGTCAGAAAAATGAACCAGGCCATTGTGGTAACCTGTACACCTTTAGCGTTCAATCACTAATAAAGGAACGCATTGTGGTAACCTGGAAAAATCAAAATTTTTTGAAACATATATGAACAAATCAACTTTTCTACCTTATTTAATATAGAATTGATGCACGCTTATTCGCTAACCCAATACTGAATAAAATTGTGATTGTCGAATAACTTTTATTTGTGTTAGTCCTTAACTTACACCCCGGTGTAACATATAATTTGTACACCCGGAGGAGACCCTTTGTGTTAATTAGAGCACATACATAATACAGAAGGTTCATGTACATGTAATTGCAGAACCAGTAAAATATTTCGGAATACATGTTTACGCTTATTTGTAATGCGCTTGTCGGATTTTTTATTTCCACACAGACGATTTTAAATGAAACCTATCAGAGTCTGTCATAGGCTAATTTTTTATCCGACTGGTACGTAAAGCTAAATTGAGCGGGCGTGGGAAATGCTACCTTATTTGAGCGTAGCTAGAACTTTGCTGATATTGATATAGGCGAAATAATTATCACATATTAGTCCTAATTATTCTGTTATGCAATCATTATAGACGCTCATGCGTAGTATGGCAATTTGATAAATGCTTATCTAAGCAATTAAGATACACAACATCATGTTGCCACTAAAGCTATTGTTGATAATAATTATCTTTTCACTTGGCGTTTGTTAGCCCATTTGCTATTAAATTTTATTTGTTAAATCGTCGTTGCGAACAAAACTTATTGTTACATGACCCAAAATAAATGATATATTACGCTGGTAAAAAACTTTTAATTAATACTTCTGCATAGAAAGTCCTTTTTTTGTGATAAAAGATAAACCGTATTTACACAGATCGCATAACAGACTGGATCGGCTGACAATACTAAAATAAATGCTTACGCTTGAAAAGCCATTATCATTGGCTTTTGTCGAGGATAAATCATACGATTGTTATCATCTCATCAGCTGGACAATTTAATACAAGTTTGATTTCAGATATAAACTTGAAATTGTCACTCTGGCACAATGATACTAAATTTCGACGAAAAAAAGACCATTGTTAAGAAGAAATCAGGAATAAATAGTTCTTAGAGCGCAGACTATTTAAAACATTGCCTAGCAAATAACATTGTGTGTGACATATTCATAGTATGCGACAGACATATATCATGCACATCATGCTTCATCGAGGCAACAAATTATTCGTCCCGTCCTTATCGTGCATCTGATGCCATTATTCTCATGCATGTTGTGACATGTCAATCTCTACTATCATACGCAAACACCGATTGCGTTGCGGACGATACATAAGTTTTCTTTCTATCATTGCCATATGGTTGGTACAGTGCGAGAGCTTTAGTAAATTTCCTTATTAACTCTCACGATGACATTAATCCGTGTGATACTATAACCCTGTTTACAGTTAATGTCCCACCAATTTCCTCAAAGTAAGAAAAAAATTATACGAGCGTGTTTCAATATATATATATATATAGCCCTTTCGTCCTTTTTTACTTAGCTTAGAATCATGATAATGAATAAATTACCTGTAGAACTCAAAGTAGAAATTGCAAGTTACGTGGAAATTCCTTTCTTTCTTGGATGCTGTTCGCGTGATTGGCACAAAATAGTAAATTCCCCACATACAAAATATAAATGGCTACTCAACAAATACGGTCGTATTCATGCATTGTTCCACGCTGTAAAAATCGGTGAACCATTACTGAATTTTGAAGCGGCTGAACTTATACTAAAAAATTCTCATATCAGTCGGCACTTTATTCATCGACTCAAACTTGGTTATGGAAAACGTGGTTTGTGGGGTAGCAATATCTCCAACGATGTATATGAACGTATTCTTAATTATAAAGCGGAATATGCAAGCTGCAACTGTGATGATATGCAGTCAATTCGTCAAATATTAGAAGGAACGGGAAGCGAAGACGATATCAGAACAATAATTGAAATACACAACTTCACACCTTTTCCGCCTAGTTCAACTTTCCGAACATATGTATTTGAAAATTCTGCAGCTGAATCTGATAACCCGCATTCAAACGGTTACGCGACAGCTTCAGAAATGAAGATCGTAGCTAACGCAATAATATCTTACCCAAAATTGCTGGACACCTGGAGGAAGATAGGCTACCACGAAGTAACCACGGACTTGGAAAACCCTGTTGTGCAACTAACACTACTAAATATTTGCTCTACAAGTGTCCCTTCAATCCAAACAGTTACTCAAAAACTATGCGATTTACAATCAATTGGATTTCTACTGACTGGCACTCTGATTGGAAATGCTCTACTTTTATTCGAACGGAGGTTAAGCGATGTCGGAGAGAGTCTTATTGAGGGCTTTTCTATTGCTCGGAAAATGTCCAAGGCGGATGTACGTGAAATGTGCTTGATAGATTTGCTTGATCCGGCAAGAAATATTGAACAACATGATGCACTAGATTATATTATCAACTCGGTTAATAATCCCGAAAAACAAATTCTCTCTGCATTTGAAAAGTACAGTATTGTCGAAAATGGAAATAACCCATCACTATCTCACGTATTCCTTAAATACTCACCCATAGTATATCGGCACATGTTACGGTTTGGGGCAAAGTCTCCGGTTGTTGGATACTTGATGAAAGAAATTGTAATTGTGAATACACAGATCATCAATACAGAAGATTCAGATGAACTGAGATATGCAGCCAATATCCTTGACGAATATTGTGCCGCAGATATACCTTTTGAACGATCGCTTTTACCACTGTTCAAAGAATGTCCGCGCACAAAACCAATCAGCTATCTATTTAAAGGATATCTGGCAAAATTGTTCGGATTTGAGGCCCAACATCAATCTTTTTCGGCGTCCCAAATTCCAGAAATAGATGTAATTACGTCACCCACACAAACGGAAGAGTTGCAGCGACTTTGGTTGGAAGACATTCAAAAATTTGTTAAATCCGAAGAATTAGTAAATGATGAATTTAAAACGCAGGCAACAGAGTTTTTCGCTCTTTGTTGTTCAATGCACAGTTGTTTTGATTACCGAGCAACCTTATTAAGTCTGTCGGTAAATTTGTAGACACAAGTTTCTAGACTAATTATGAGTTTCGTTTATTTTCTATACATTTCAAGTCTATTATGGAAATATTTTTAAGAGGTTTTTGTATTCTAAGACAACACATTATATTAATAATAAGGGTAATTATGCAGGAAAATATGTTTGGTTAATTATAAAGGTCGAAAGTTTTTGGGAAAAACCCGTTTACTTTACAATTGAACGTGAAAAAGTGTCCTTTGATGACCTGAAACGTCTCCCATGTGCGCTGCCTATATTTATGTCATTAATGAATACATCGGTAATTAATTATGCCAATCGTTAAATTCTTATACGTAGGTATACCTAATGCGAATTTTACAGCATTGCAGATCACTGTACCACATAATTTTGTAAAGGGGGACGTTAACCAAAAGACATGACACAGCCTGTTTTCTAATTTATAATTAGTAATATTTACAGTTTGTTTATGCGTTTGTATGTAAGGTTGTAATCAGAGGAACAATAGGTGAGAAAGTAGTTATAATTTACTACACGGTTTTATGTTGGTTTATCCATGCAAAGTAATAAAGCTTGTATAAATATTTTAATAAAGGATATATCGTTGGTTTTTCTCGGTTGCAACAACAGGAGGTGGTATGAGTCATCTCTCTCTAACATTTATTTCGAGTCAAATTAGTGTTTGCGTAATCATTTATAATACGTTAAGATACTCGGCCTCGGGAAATAATGCAGGATATTTATGTAACATGTGATTGCTTTCGTTCTTGGGCGCACGAAAATTATTTTCGGAAATAACATGTTTACGTTATTTGTAATACACTTTTTTGATGCGCCTCTTTGAGTTACAATCTTATGATTGAGGTGCATAACATAATCCTTCAAAAATTGGTACTCGGACTTGGTAATGCTCATTGATTCATACAATGTAAAGAAGATTGACCCTGGTCACAAAACCCCGAGGAAATGACATAGTAGCTTCCTCAGGCGGACTACAGAATGCAAATAAATTAGAAAATTTGATAAAAATTAAAACTTGTAGACTGAGAGTTTCTAGTTGTAATTTTTGTGATGGCCCACACGGACGATTTTGATGCAAAAATATAGATGTGTGAGGTCGTACACGATATATAAATGAATAGAGTAAAGTTAAATTGGGAGCTAATACAGTCGGGATTTGAAAGTTTGAGAGCGTGCATTAGAGAGTTTGTATTTAATAAATCACGTGACACCATTAAATAATGATATTTTGCTGATCTACAGCATATGCATCATATTGGCTTTCTTTCTCTTATATTAACATACCTTTCAAGAATGTTTGCCACGTTTACTTTTGTAGATTCATTAGCTCTGACTTCCCCATTGTTTTCAACCCAGTTAACAAGTTTGTTCGACTTTTATCATTATCGTGAACATCCAGATAAAGTTCATATTTTTGAGCATTTGATCAAGTAATTTTGCCTTTGGGGCATGGTAAAAGTATGGGTGTTTATTGAAAAACGAGGTTGTAATATAATTATCAAGCTAGCAATTAGTTAACCAATTGTTGATAATGACTACGTAAATGTGTCCTTCTTAAATAGTTATTGCGATAGTTAAAATTTATTCGTTGATATGTTAGAAGGTATTAATGCCACGTTTGGCAACTTTATCGGTTCGGTCGCCTGTATGCATTTGCGGAGATCAACCCCTTGGAAGAATGTGCATTTATCACTAATTCCCGAGGTTGGAATTTGAAGTACCGTGCACTTAGGGAGAGTTGACTGTCTGCTTATTGGAAATGGCCTAAGCGTAGACTAAAACTTTATTTATGTCCATTCCGAACTGACACATATGTCGATTGGAATTACGCATAATGTACGAATATGATTTGTCCAGCTTGTTGTTAAGCCATCAATTTTGTTGTGTACAAGGGACATACCTATTGATGCTATCTACGTACTCACAATAGTCTGTACGTTATAAGCCATGTGTTTCAATCATGACGTAGAGAGTATTGTTGACTGTAAATTAATGGCTGATTTATCGCACTTTTCAAAATTATGGAAACCCCCGACGGTACACATACACAAACGAAAATACTAATTGGCCAATCAGAAAGTATAGATTATCGTATAATAAAAAATAGTATATATCATGTTCTGCAAATACTTCAATCATGACTACGCAAATCAAACCCAGGAAATATAGTATATATGTACAGCTTTATGTTATGCTTATTTATTATGTGAGATAGATAATACATTTGAGAGTTGAATTGTAAAAGAGAGAGAGTTACGAATAACATCCTTCGCGCTCTCATTAAGGAATATGAGTCGCTCGGGTGAATATAATTCTCCAATTTTAGTGATAAAGCAATTCATTCCTTTTCATAGCCCCTTTATGTAACTACAAGAAAGTTTTATTAGTAGACACGGGACATGTCCCCGACGAATGATTTTCATAAGAGATAAATGTTGTGTAACGTGCGATGCAATACTTCGAGGCAAAAAAACTCGACCATGTTGA